GGTAGTCGGTGGATTCCCTGCGGGGCACGGATGCTGCACACATGATTGTTCTTTGGCGCAAGCATTCCAACCCACTGTATCAGAACCTGTTTAATGTCCTCTAAATCAACTCTCACACTGCCAACATCCCAAGGCCTTATGACCTCAATCGAACCAAACCGGAATCAATTGCGATGCAAGGCGCTCATGCAACTTGGCTAGCTTGTTGGTTCACACCAGATGGAAATCAACAGACACCAAACGAATCGTTGTCCAAGGCAACAAGAAGCTCCACAAAACTGAAGGAGACTGTGGATAGCCACACAAGGCTAGAAAAGAGCGCGAAGCGCTGCATGCTGCGCAGGCGCCTCCTGCAATCAACCCCAGCTATTCACCCCAACCGAACACAGCCAAACCAAAACTGAGCCAGGCCAGCCTGAGCCAACGCACACACGCACACCAACCCCAACAAAGCAGGTCCAACTGACACAATCCCAGACCTCCACTTGCCAAGAGGCAGACAAAGAGCACCATTTCGAGGATGTGACTCAAGGGCCCCCCCCCCCCCCACCGCAATATCTGGTTTCCTGGTTGGTGTCTTCTGCGAGCTACTTTCCAAGCGGTTTCTGTCTTAGACACATGGGGGTTGATGAAAAGGTCCTTTACATGCGATGACCATTGGGAAAAACCACTGAAAGGATGATATCAGCAGTTGGCTTCCAAGGAAACCAGCATGGTTACGAAAATAACCTTCCCTGTGATACCAAAGTGGCTCATGCTCCAATTCATTCTTCATTCCAATAACTTCGTCATCCTTTTCAAGAAGACTCCCCCAGGGTACCTTTCCTCAAACCACCAACTTCCCACAGCCACGGAAACCCTCAGAAATCCAAAATGCCCGCGACTCTGGAAAGTCCAACCCTCCCAATGCTCACGCCAGTCTACCAGAACAAGCGATCCTCTTGCGAAACCTGGACAACTGTAAAAACAGAGAAACCGAAACCTCTCACCTTGGAACCAAATCCAAGAAAACACCGGAAACAAAATGACAAAAACCAGTCACGCCTCTCCCGCGCGAGTTCCACCATGAGCGGCGCAAGCGCCTCAGATGACGCGGCGAAGTGGGGATGGCCGTCCTGGTTTCTAGCGGAAAAAAAAAGGCCTGTTGTCTCTCCCAAAACTGGCTGATTGAGGAAAGTCCGCGGTTTCCTTCGCTGAGGCTGTCGCAAGAACACATGGAGTAGGACTTCTCAGGAGCTTTGCGATCCATTCAGGTTGAATGATGAGAGCCAGGTTTGTATGCGGAATCTAGGTGGAGGCGGGGAACGAAAGGCACAGGTTCCTGTCAGAAACATGGAGAATGAAAGAGAGCGAACACTAGCAAACACTTGGGGCAAAGCTTGCGAGTCCAAATAGCCTTTGGCTCTGACATGAATCAAGCTGTTGCCTGTGATGCATGAATTCAAGTCCTCATGAAACAATATGTCGCCCTTCTTGCGCTGCCACCAAACAACTCATCGCAACTCGGATGTGCGCCTCCACGTGTGAGGATTGTTTTGCATCTGACAAAAGCCCTTTCACCACCCATGCCATAAATGCACTACCCGTGATTGCCACTATGTTGCAAAGCGAGATACCCACCCAGCTAGCTGTTCACAGCTGTTAGTTGATGTACTTGCCACATTTAGGATATCTGTGACAGCTATTCACTCTATTCTCGCAAAAAAAAAAAAAAAAAAAGTTTGAGTGCGTGGGCAGGTCATCTAGGGAATCGATTGTCCTGCAGATTACGCGTGTTCGAGCTGGTTCAAAACAATCCAGTGATACCATCTTCCACCGTTTGCGTAAGTTCCAATAATGCGCCATCCCACCACCTGTTGCTGGCGGTTGCAGTCTCCTTTCAGCTTTTGGCTTTCTCATGTCATGATCAACATTCTGTTGAAACATAAAGTGTGCATATGATGTTAGGCCTGGCTATGGAATGATTGTGGGTTCTCTTGCTTTCAGTCATCTACAACACTTTGGGGTGGTAAATTCATAAGACAACAATCAGGTTGGAATGATTCGCGTTCACCTATGAGTGGATTCTTGCAGGGAACTGTTGGTGGGGATGTTCCCATGAAATGCATTTTGATGGCAAACACTCTCGAAAATGGTATGCATCAATCCAACCATGTAAGAGAATAGGAAGTGAGCCCCTTTAAGACAGCGGTTCGTCCCATCCAAAAGAAGGCGCCCAAATAGGATCGTGGTAAATGGAGGAAGCCCCCGAAAGTCCGTGGTGTGCTGTTGGTCTGCCTGTCAAAAGCGTCAAATGTGATATTCCAGAGGCCACCAAAAAGGATCCCAGCCCCTTTTAAGCAGAGTAGAAAGGTGTTGTGGGAGTTCAAGACCCAATTTCGCCCCTCATATGTAAATGTGTAGATACAAATATACATGTAGACTGTGACATGCTTGTTTATTCTGTGTGTTGATTATTGATGCATTTCTTGATATATTGCTTATTTATCTATTTGTGTATTCATTTAATCATTCATCTATTTATTTGTTTGATCATTCATTTACTTTCTTGTCTGGGTATTCATGTATCCATTCATGTATTTTGCATCTATTTAGTAAGTTACGTATTTGTTTGTTGTTGATTTGTTTTTTTTGTCATTGATTTATCTATGTATCTATTTATATATTTTTGTATATGCACCCCCTTGCCAGGACCTGGTTTTGGTGCCTTTTGGTGATGATAAATCTTGAATCTAAAGACCAAGTTCTCGAAATGTCCAACTTTTGGGCCCCAAAAGCCTCATAACTTGGAGCCCGGAGTCCTCTGAAATGTCCGCTTCTACTTCAACTAGAATTGGAACTGTGAATATGATTTAGTAAGGATATAATTTTCCGAAATGTAGTTTATTCACAAATATAACTTAAATAAACAAATCCTTTCCAAATAGGAGTTACATTAACATGTAAATATAATTTCGGGTAAACTCCAACGAATATTTAACAAAAGAAATTAGATACGAGTTTATTCCCAAATACAATTTCATGCGCTAAATATAATCTAATACGAACACATTTCAATTAGCTTTTGATAATAACAATTAAATAGAAACTAATTCTCAAAAATAATTCACATCAAATATAACTAAACATTTGAGGGACGTCTCAAGGAAAGTCAAAATATGTTTTGTGTTATTTACATTCTGTCCCCTTTGTAGCACAAGAATGGTCCGAAATTAAACTTGATACACGGTGCTCCAATATGGAAATGTCAAGCGAAGAGAGGTTCACATTCCAAAACTATCTCGAAACAGGGATTCTAGCTGAATCAATTGTATTTAAAGTCTTAGTTGGGCAGGAAATCATAATTCATTCTATCTCAAAAGGCGGAGGTAGTAGATGATGGACAGGTAGTTCAGGGAGGGACGGCGTGTGAACATATATATATATATATACATGCACATACATACAAACATGTAGTACCCCTGAAGATCCTGCTCTTCATAAAATGCTGTAAAATACGGTGTTTTCAGCATTACACCTACCTTTACCTCCTGGAAAAGGGTCAACATGAGCATGGCTTACATGAAGCAAACCGCTCACCAAAAACGCTTGAAAGTTTGTCCAAGTGTTTCCACTGGATCGCCAAGCACTTGAAAGTAGTTTACCACGGGATGGAGATTACACAGAAAACGTTCCTGAGAATCGTCAATCCTGGCCAAACCTAAACAACATTCAAGTTCTTCTAACACTTGAAAGTGCTTTACCACTGGATTGAGGATTCAAAATTGAAGATTGCACAAACAGCAACTTTTCTGAGAATCGTCCATCCTGGCCAACCCCATAAAAATTTCAAGTTGTTCTAAAACCTCGAATGTATTTTACCACTGGATTGAAGATTCAAGATTGAAACCTTGCACAGACATCTTATGCGAGTATATTGTCCTCTCAGTTCAAATCCTCAATTTGCGGGAACTTGGAGGGTTGCAGATTAAATTCATATGACTGCAGATGGGTACGCATACTTAGAAGTTTGTGTTGAACACCTAAAGTATTGGGACAACCCCGGATTTTAAGAACGAAAAAAATGGGATTCGAGATTCAAGATTCCCCAAAAGAACTTTCTCAGATTCTTCAATCTTGAATATTGAATTCAAAAAAAGACTTCAAAAGCTTCAGCGTTACCTCGATAGTCTGAGATGCATGCAGACTCTGTCAGATGGCAAATGTTGATATCTTTGCTTACATTACATATGCATGTATGTAGGTATATATACAAATGGCACCCCCCCCCCCATATCTTGCCACAAAATCAACGAGGCAAAAAAAGAAGCATAAAACACTGGGGGAAAAAGATAAGGGGAAAAAAAACAAAAAGGACAAAAAAACACGGCTCAAGCTCACCAAACCAGGGTAGATGGGAAGGGAAACCATATATAGACCATACATATATATATATATAGGTACTTCATTGGGCGGGGGTGACCACAGAAATCAAAAAATGATGTTAAACCAATACTCATGTTTGTATCCTCTTGCTGCTCGTCCGTCCCGTCCGCATCTCTCGCGCTGGGCTTCCAAGCCGCCTCCGCCGCACTGAGCAGCAGCACCCCCGAGCGCCTTGCCTGGCCGAAGAGAGACGACGTCCCAAAACGGGGGGGAAAACGAAAAGCGGAAAGAAAAGTGGTTTGCAGGAGAAAAAAAAGGTTTGCAGAAGAAGAGAAAAACGAAGACGGAACATGAAAGGTGTGCGGAAAAACTGAAGGGGAAAGCATGTTTGACAAGTAGCGATGGTTCCTTTCTGACAGAACCCACAGAAGGGCCGCCTTTAATAACTCTTGTGTCTCACCTGGTCAAGCCTTTGTGACTCGCGTGTTCACCGGGTTATGCCATTGTGCATCTCATATCATATCTCACCAAAAAAACCTTTGCAAATATCGTTTTCCAAAAGATGAAACTGATGTGAAATATCAGGATGAATCTTGTGCGATTCTCATTGATCAGCGCGTGAGTCATTTGTGCACCGGGAAATCAATCTGCGATGCGCATGCTCATCAGGTAATGGCAATAATTGTGAGTATCATTGCTCACCAAATCAAGCCTTCGTGATGTCTCCTTTCAACTACCCAAACCCCCGACAAATTTCCCCTGGCAGCCCTTTTTTCTTACAAACTCAGGGCCTCTTGCAGGTCTTGCTGCTCAAAGGCCAGCTCCTGGTTGATCTGCCGGTACTCCTCCTAGCTTGTCGGATAAAACGAGGCGTCTTTGGGGGGTCCAACCAAAGGTGGCCTTTTGGCAAAATAGATGGCCCTGGTAAATGGGACAAAACCCATCTAAGCCAGTGCCATCTATTTTTAGCCAAGCTAATCTACAAAGGACACCTATGGGTCCAACTAGTTTTGACGCAGCCTGCTGATTGGAGGCTCGAGGGCGATCGTAAACAGCATGCTGCATAAGACTGGACCAATCCTGGCTTCCCTTGAAAACACAAAGGAAGTTGTCCCGTGCCCATCCTGAAAAGGAATGACTTCGGAGGATGGGCGTGCAGTTTCTCGAGGCCGCGATGTAACTCTGCCCGGATTAAGCCAGAGCGACGGAGAAGTGATTTGGGAAAGCTCGGGGACACCAGCGGCCGAGACGCGGGTCGAGGGATGAACTGCGTTCACGGCGAATGACATATCAAAGGCAACCTGCCCACTCCTTCCTTGACGATTCTGCGGCTTGGCATCACCAGTATCGGAATCATTCGCATTAAAACCAGCACCGGGAGGAGCCCAAACAATGCGAAAGCTTCCAGACACAAATACCACCCTCGCAGATTTGCTCCTGCGCCACGCTCGTTTAGGAACCTTCTCCTGCCTAGCCTCATAGGGTACGCAACTAGGAGTGACACTCGCGCGAGAATTGAAAATGACATCTATCCTTGTGAACAATTGTGATACCCCCTCCCAAGAAGAAAGGTCTACTTTGATCTCAGTCTCACCTCGATTTGCAGAAACTCACCCAAGGACCCACGGGAACTGAGCAATGTCCACACTTGCCTGCGAAGTGAACAAAATGCTGAAGGTGTTCGGAAGATTCATTGGTTATAGAGTGAATTGTGCCAACCAACAAACAAACAAACAAACAAACAAACTAGCAAACTAGCTAACTAACTAACTAACTAACTAACTAACTAACTAACTAAACAAACAAACAAACAAACAAACAAACCAACCAACTAGCTGAATAACACAAATGCTGCCCTTGCGCGCGGCCTTTCAAGACGCGCAACCCCCCCGGGCGAAAACGCTGGTCTCCTCCGCCTCTTTGAGCGCATCTACCAGCTTCTGCCGCGCCTCGGAATCCTCGCCGGGAAGGTTCGCTCGAACCGCCCAACCGAAAAAGGAGCGCCTGGACCAAACCAAGGAACAAACCAGGCAACCTGAGGTTGGCAAAAATGCAGACCCAACCTAGGAGTCGAAGTTCACAGCATTTTTTGACGAAGAGGGGCTTCCGGCCGAAGGCGGTTTGTCCCGGCACCAACCAGCCACCAAACCCACAAAGAAACAACAAACATCAAACGAAACCTGAGTCATAATCAAAACCTGGTACTAAAATGCTCAGAACGATGTAAAGACTTAAACAGGCGGCTGCAGCTATTTCTGGTTGGGATTGCCGCTTACTCTCCAAGTATCCGGGTTTTGATTGTGGCCAAATGGCCCCAACCGTTCAGTCCTGCGGCATGCCGAAAAACCTCCTGCGGGAGGATTTCCCGGTGGGGGACCCGCAGGCCCCGAGTCCGCGTGCTCCGAGCCAGCGCACACGAAGTCGGCGCTGGTGGTTGAACCCTTTGGACGATTTATATCCTGAAAGATATCATAGCAAAATAGGTCTGTGAGTATCATGAACCCTTTGAGCTCCAAATGTCCAAGACCTGGGGGTGTGATCTTTTGGAGGCTGGGAACCCCGAAACACCCGAAGGGATGCCTTTAGAGGGATCACAAATGGGGAACGGCCCGCTTTTCGGTGCCTCTTGCAAAATTGGGCAGAAAAGCCAAACAGCGGGGCACAAACTGAGACCCTGCCGTTGAGCGCACAATTCCTTTGCTTGTTGGAATTTGGGGCCCGGTGAGGCTCGGTGAACCCATCGTTTCGCAACCTGGAGCTCTTGTTTCCCCCACCAAAGTTAAACTTAGTGATGATTGGCCGGAATCGTGACGCTAAAAACAGCTTGAAAGGACGTAGTCGGGACAGACCCCTCGCAATTCACTTAAGCTTGCGCAAATGTGAGTCCCCACAGAGTGTGGGGAGGAACCTTGGCGAGTGCCCAAATGTCCCTGCAACCCAAACACCCAACGCCCAGAACGCATTCTCAGCTTCCATCTTTAAGACAGAAGCCCTGTGTCACCTTTGAACACCACTGGCTCTGAAAACCAAGCGCTTTTTGGAATGGCCCGAGAATCTGATCTTGAAGTCATTCGAGAAGAGCACTATCTTCATATCCCCTGTTCAAGTGGGGAGGTTTCGGGGGTTTCAGGCACAGACGCAAGCAGCTCGCGACTTTCCCGCAGCATCACATTAACAAAAGGCAGAGGCACAGTCTATGCACATCGACCCGCGTCCAGTGTCCTTGGAAAAAACACGGCGGGGTTGTGGACCGCCCAAAAATCAGTATCTGAATGATGAATGTCCAAGTGGCAAGTGGGTATCAAGCCTTCCTATCAGACGAACTGCTTCTGGCGGACGAGGATGAAGTTCCCAGGTTGGGTCAACTCCCGGGTTCCAGATTTCTCTGGCTCGCCCGACTTAAATCCCGCTTGAAGCGGCCAAATTGGGCAGAAATCGCTCGAACTACGCCGGAGATGGCAGCCACCTCCGGCCATAAGACGTAGATCCGAGGCGCTGGAGGGATGGGAGGCGCTGCTGGACCGACGCAATTGCGCCAGCCACGAGCTCTAGCTGAACGCGGAAAAAAAAAAAAAAAAAACACCTTGTGCACAATTGTTCACAGCGGCCCATCTGAGTACTTGCGCTGCACAAGGATTGGGACAACCCCTTCAACCAACCTCCTGTCAATTTCAATTTCAATGAGCCAGGTCCCCCTTGCAACCAACACGCGCCTCCATTTCTCCCCGGCGCCGCGCCTCGTAACCTGCGCGTACGTGCACGCAGGAAGCTTCCAGGAAGCCCCACCGTCCGCCTTTCTTGCCAGCTCGCCCAAGGAAAAAATGCGGACCTTGTGCTCGACTTCGAAAAGGCCACCAAAGTCGATCAGGAAAATGAAAACTGGATTTGGGAACCTCGCTCCCAGCGCCTTGGCGTTGGGATGAGGAGGACAAATTCTGGTTTGGCATATTCGTACAAAATAAACGTGCAATCGATATAGTCTGTGCCAAAATGCTGCTGTTCTACCGGATCACAGTCGATGCTGTTCGATTTCACATACAGCTCACCTGTCAGCGACTAACTAGACCAGTCAAAGCTAGTGCGGGAAATCATTGAGAATCTCAAATGAGAAGTTCAATCTCTTGCTCGCAATCCTGCCCGATGTGTGTCTCGTGGCTAAAGAAAGGGGTGTCCGGCGCTACATGGCCAGAGCTGTAGTTGCAGGGAATGTGCTAGCAACTGCATTCGCAAAGGTCCCACAACAACACTCACGCCATGGATTTAGGTGCCTCAAATGTTTCATCACGTGCCCACGGCTGAAGTGAAGCTTCCTACAACTGAGCGCAGGCCGATAGCAGCCCGCACACCGTCTTTGGCAACTGCCCACTTCGTACGGTTCCTGCGAGAGATCGCGTCTCCGATGGTTCCCACGCCGGTTGCCCTCCCTGGAAAGGAAATGAAGCTCCAGCATCCTGGATTGTTCGGCTTCCTTGTTTGTTGAGGGCTTCTCGAGAGCTGGACCCTAGAATTTTGAGCTGGACTAGCAGGCAAGCACTGAAACATAGCATTTATCTAACAACGTGGTTTAGGGTGTGGTCAAAGGTGTGGAATAAAAACGCGGTAGCCACGTTTTGTCCACGTTTTTGTGGCCCTGGAAACGCCCTGCCCGTGACTTTAACACGTGGTAAAAGCGTGGAAAAATCGTGAGAAAAACCTAGTACCACGTTTTTAGGCCTGGGTCCCCGGTGTGGCTGCAAAACGTGGAAAATACGTGGAAAACACGTGGGGGAAAAAAAAGCAGCTGCCACTTGTTCTCCAACGCTCGCGGGGTGTGGTGGGTACCACGATTTGTCCATGCCCTGGGATTTCATGTGCCCTCAAACCCACGTTTTCAATCCACGTTCCTTACCACGTTTAAACCAGGAAATTAGATATCTTGACCTTCCCCAGTGGTTGCGTAACCTCAACCTCTTGGCCCTAGAAACGAACCGGGTACAGCCTGTTCAAAAAGCAGCCCAGGAGGCTGTCAGTTTGAAGAAAATACAAAGAGATCAATCTGATGATGCACCACCCAACCGAATCGATGAGCGAGTCCCTTCTGAGCAGTGCTCGGTACCAGATCAACTTGCGTAAGGGTGTAGGGTCTGGCGGGTACCGCGCGGCAAGCAGTCTGCGTCGGAGGTTGCCGACCCAAACACATGGCCAATATGGCCTGACCCTTTGCTGAATTTGGACGGCTTTCTCAGCGAGAAAGGCCCCAAGGGTACACAATTTGTAAAGGAGATCAACATGACACCAAGCATTTAGGGGATCTCCCTCGAAACTTTCACAGAAGGAGACTCATGGCTAACACCCAGACTCACCACCCTAACCCAAGCTCGGCTAGCTCTCCAGTGGTCGATCCCGGAACTTGACCTGGGCAACAGGAAACCTCGGAATCCAAATAAATGGATGGTCGGTATCCAGAATGGACACCTGTATCTAAAAACGAGAGGGTCACCTAAGGCAACATACCAACATGCCCCTTGACCACCACTCTGGTCACGATGTTTCGGTTGCGAGCAACAGGAACCAAACCAATGGACCAACTCAATCCGGACCCCACAAAGCGGAAAGCGGACAGAAGCCACCCTCACCAGGACGGCTCTCCCAAACCGCCCCCCTCCCCCGCCTCTCTGGCCGGCACTTCGGACGGCTCAGGCAGCGGGAGCGACTGGATCCCGGGGCCCTGTTGGGGCGGCTGGCCCAAGCACGTGGCTCTCATCCGGCGAAAAGACAGGGGAACCGGCGAAACGAACACGTGGTCGACCTGCAGAAGTTATATACTCTATCCTAAAAAGCGCCGCAAACACCTGCTACGCCCGAGCAACCTTGAAATCGAAACGCCAACGTATCATGTCTAGGCACGAGGCACGTTGATGAAGTTCAAGTCTTTGCATTTGGGTACACTTGTCATATATTTAATGTACACACACACCTGTGTTTGCCTGTCTACATCTGGAGTCTTTCATTGGAATGAACCCAGGCCGCCACAAATACAAATACCAGAATCGCCTCTGTAGCTGAACGGCGGCTCATGTTTCCAGAGCACTGCAGATCCTTTATGATACTTGGCTTTGGGTTCACCGCCCCCAAGCCGCAGATCCATCGCAGGGGCAGAAAGGCTTCCATCGCCTGCAACACTGCACATCTTGAATGAACCAACGGCGACGTCAAGGCTTGCCACGTAGAATCCCATGCAAATAAGACCAGAGCCGTTCCGGGAGCGTACTGCTTGCGATAGGTAAGCAGGGTTGTTTTGCTTCTGAAATGCTGATCCCCTCGCCCTGATATCTACTCTTCATTTGCTTTCCACTGTTCCTTGAAGCCATTCCCAGACGGAGTTCACCACGCGGGCATGAACTTCAATTAAGACACCCAAGCTTGCCTCTTTTTATCAGCAACTAGCCTTGAGGGTGTTCCTCCGATAGAGAGGTTAGAATAAGGGTACCCTTTCTTATGTAGTCTTTTATAGTAGGGGAACCCTCCCAAAAAAAAGGTGTAAGGGCACTACTGGGGGATTCCAAGGCTTCGTTCCATTGCTCTCTCGTTTGTTTGGCCGCGCCTCGAGAAGAGGAGATCTGCTGGCTGGTTTGGCCCAAGGCAGCCTCGCACATGGCACGGCTGTCCGGTGAACCGAGGTCCCGTTCCGGGGGTTCCTCAAAGGAATCGGTGTCTCGAAATGGTCTCCCGTTAAACACGGAAAAGGGCCAGCATTTTGAATACAAGAAGGTCGCTCCTCTCAAGCTTGTCTGCCAGGTGTTGTGGAAGTTCGACTGTTTCCCCTGTGAGCTCTGTGATCTGATTTAGAGCCGTCAATGAGGTCGTTTTACTTTTGCTTCGCCATAACTTGGCGGCACCACGATGCAATCGGACAGTCAGTCCATGAAGCCGTGCTCAAGGGGTTTAGGCTGCCAAGGGTAGTGGATTTTGGCAAACACTCGCCGCTGTTTCTCGACACACCTCGGTCAGCCACCCTTGTGCGAGGAATCTTGAGAACGCAAATTCTAAAAAAGACGGGTCAAAATCCCGTACCGCCAGTGAACATCCCAATCCCCACTAAAATAGACTAAAATGGGTGGTGAATTCACATACCCCAAAAAGGGATCCCATTGGTTTTGACCCACAGCCATTTGTCCAGCCGCCCTCGGAAAAACACAAACGGCACCCACTTGCAAACGGCACGTGCCCACCTCCAACTCCTCGTAGGCGTTGCGTTGCACGGTCTGCGTGTTCTGGAGCCTTCCGCTCGAGCGAGCAAGGAAAATTGTGGTTGCCCATAGCCAAACGAAGTTCCACTCATTCCCCAAGCGGACGTGGACAAATTGGTGGGGGGGGTCTGCATGGGTCTATCCGCCCCCTGAGGTAGACGATCTTCGCTCTGCCCATCTACTTGCCCAAAAAGCAAGGGTGTGTAAGCTACGACACCCTGTGACACCACTAAAAACAAAGGTCTCCACATGAATTCATCTTCTAGCTGGAGGTTCACTCAGAAGTTGAAACATCGAGCCAGTGGCAACCCTCATCGCCTCTGAATGAGCTCCATCTCCTCTTTCTCCATCTTCGCCACAAGCGCGTCGGTGCCTCAAAAGTTGCCCTCTTGTGGCACATGAAATGCAAACCAACATGAAACCAAACATCTGAATGGGGACTCCTATTTTTGACCCCTACCCATGCAACCCGCATGTGTGTTCCTTCAAATGGTTTGTCTTAGTGCTGGTTTGCTCAAAGAAGCACCCTCCAAGAGTGCCTGGTTTTGACGCAACCCCAAAGTTCGTGACACATCCACATTCAGGCCTGTCATGAGCCCCAAGCAACAATAGGCCGAAACTTGATTGAGCATCCATGTGTTGTCTCAGCTCAACCAACTGAGGCAGCATCGTTGTAGTTGTCATCTCCCCCCGCAATCGGATCCCTGCAATCACAGACTGAACAGATCAAACATTGAACGTTTCCAGAAATCAGAAGGGTTCCTACTGGAAGAAAAGGACGGCAAGGTCCTTGTGCCTATAAGAAAAACCCGGCTGTATTGACCTTTAGGACCCTTCCCTCACTCCATCAGCCCTCTTGGAAAGACAAAAAAACACTTCTAGCCATTCTCTGCACCCAAGAGAACCCGACACGTCAGCCCAAAACAAAGCAAAAAGCCGCAAAAGGATCTCCGAAATGGAAAAAAGTCCCAAGAGAACCAACACAAAAAAAAAGCTATGAGCCATGCTTTTATATATAAATATATATATCTATATATGTATAGGAAAAACAACACACTCTAAGCCATCCCCAACCCCCAGGCCCTCCCACGGGCGCGGAGCATCTCCTCCTGCGCCGTGCGGGCCTGTCGCAAGACGTCCAAAACGTGGAGGGGAGGTGTTGCTTTTTGGGACGGTTCAAAGGGAAAACGCGCTGTCAGAGGAAAAAAAGAACCTTAGAGAATGAAGAGTTGTACTCCAATCATGACTAAAGGTGGTGCTGAAGTACCCCTCAACCCCATTCTGTCTCTCTGTCTGGTCTGGTCTGGTCTGGTCTGATCTGGTCTGATCTGGTCTGGTCTGGTCTGTCTGTCACATTAGTCTAACCCGGCCCAGGAGGTGACAACAGCAACCATATAGGTCCTAACCTCAAGACTGCGCGGGAAGTCCAGGAACTGGGGGAGTGACCCTGCTTCCAACAAACCACTCATGCTCCTGCTGCAGAGCGGGTTCATCGCACTATCGAAGGGTAGGGCATCGTCAATGACCACATGGTGCCACTGCCCGTGCTTGTAAAACCTATTCAGGCCTTGATGTTATCCATATTTGAGGTCCTGATATTAATTTCAATTGGGGTCTCGTTGGAAATTATTGACATAGGGATTTACGTCCACCAAGGGTGTTCCCGATTGATTGTCACTACCATTCAAATCATCGGGAATGATTGGCTTTCAACCAATAAACACTACTCGCCAAGGGTCGGTGGTGTCATCTCTTCATCTTGCTTCTGTTTTGCCCTTCCTAGGACAGACATGCGAGATGGTCTAGTCACTATAGCTATCTCGTTTTGGGATCCCTCTTTGTCAAGGTGGCCACCTGTGGTTCCAAAAATGGGGCGGTTGGCCTCATGCTTGACCACCGCCGTGTTTTTATTGATGTCTGCATCAAAGGCCGGCCAAAGGGGGTGGTTGCAAGGACTGAGCTTCCTGGCAGGCATGACCGGTTGACGGGTTCGAAGATACCGAGGATGCCAAATCAACTAGTGAAATCAGGAAAAAAGGGTGGGATCCCTGTGCTCACTTACATGAAACTGCGTAAAACCAGTATTGAACATGTTTGATATTCTTTGGCTTCCAAAAAAGAGGAGGCAAACGGAGCCCGCGTCCGCTTCCAGGTGCCCAGACCGGGGCACTGGGAACCTTGGCGTTTCCTGCCGCCACGCGCTCCCGTCGCTCGTTGCCTCGTAGTCCTCCCGGTACTTCTCGAGCTGCGCCAGACGCTCCTCCTCCAAGCGGCGCTTGGCCTCCAAAGGGAGCAACGAGGGCGGGCGGGGGAGGTGGGGGCGGTTGAAATTTGGTTGGTTCTGGTTGGCTTCTGGTTGGCTTCTGGTTGGTTTCCAGTTGTTTCTGGCTGGTTTCTGGTTGGTTTCTCTGTGTCTCTTTCGGTCCCTTCTTAGTTGTTGGTTACGTCTTGTTTTTGGCGTTGTTGGCTTTTTGGCCAGTGCTGTCGTGTTCCTTGGCTTGAAGCGGCATTACCGCACCTCCCAAGCTCCACTGTCAAAAAACGCCGCCATCCCGGGGCGCCCGGCATCATCCTTCCTTTGTTTCAGGTAGGAAGACCTGCCATGTAGAGGCCCGTGGTGAGCAGTAGGGGATACTAGAATCAGATATTCGTCTCTTGGATCATAGCTTAATCCGTTCTCATTGTTTAGGCCCTTGTAGTACATCGCTGAGGTCGATGGTGGACTGACCAGGTAGCAATTGGGAACACAGCAATACTTCGTGTCGCAAATCGGTGATCCTTCACACCTCGAACAACCAATCAGGACATGACTTGATGGCGACATCCTGTGCAACAAGAAAACGACGACAAGCAAAAAGACCGAGCAAATGGCTCTAACCGCCAAAAAGCCAAAGAACCTCCGCCGCAGGAGAAACGAACGAAGCTGGCTCCACAACATCTCGCTCCTGCCTCTCCAAGTTCGCCTGCCTCTCAGCCTGACGCAGGGAGCGGCGAGTCCACGCTGGTGGAAAGCACTCCCGGCATTGGAAGCCGACCCTGGATGTGACTAGTCGCCTTCCTTTGGTTCCTTGAAGTGTCGTGGTATGTCAATTTGCTCCATGCAGAGGTTTCAGAGTTTGAGACACGAAGCATGGTTGACTCAAAACCTGAGACACGGGTATTGGCATCGCCTGTCGCGCAAAGATTCACGGGCTCATGGCTTCATGACGATGCACGACATCTGCCAAGTCGACCCAAAACCATTGGCTGAACATCAGAGCGGCTGCTCCTACTTGGACTAAGCCCCAACAAATTAGCATGGGGTTGTGTGTACTTTAAGACCAAGTTGTGTGTACTTTTAAGACCAAGTTAAGTCTGTGATTTTGGCCCCCTTGTTCTCAGGAATTCAAGCCTTGCCAAAGCCATGGCTGTAAGGCACGGGGCCCTTGCCAAAGCCAGGGCTCCCGGCCGCTTCACGATCCTCAAGCATTCCGGAATGTGTGAAAGCTCGGACAATGTGCAGCCTGATACGTGCAATCCCATCCGTCCCGGAGAGGGGACAGCCAAAAACGCAACACAGTGTCATGGCAAAGAAGTTATGAAGTGAAGAAAGCTTGCCCGGAGGCCTACCCAGCCAAGCATGCTCACAGGAAAGCCTGGCGCCAACCCCAAGAGCCATTAGAAGAAGCCATGTAGGGCCGAGCAAATCCGCCTCATCCCGGAACAAAATCGGCCCAACCACGTGCAGACCCCAAGCAACCATATGCGGCGGCTCCCTGAAGGACTTACCTGACGATACAACAACATTGACCACATGGAAAATCATGCATTGTACATGCGAACCCTGAGATAAATCAACCCCTGGTTGATTGATGGGCGTGCTGCCCCTGTCTGGAAGAGATCCCACGATGAATCCTTCAGCAGTCATTGCGTTAGCTTATCGTAGAACGTTAGCTGTAGAACCCAATGTGCAGAAGATCTCGCTTGTTGGTAAGTGAGTGGCCAATTCGCACATGCTCCTGTAGCTTCTTTGACACACTGGCAGGAAGTAATCGTAACAATCCCCCAGGCACATTGGCCATGCCTGGCTTCCCAACCAGACGACCTGTTTTCGGACACTTGCCCTTGGCTTCTTGGAAACACGTCAAACAGAGGTGCGCGGCTATGAACCCATGGGGAGGGGATCCAATGGTTTGCCGTTGACTTCGAACCGACACCCGGGTCCTTTTTCTGGAGCAGCATTTGCTGCGACTGCTGCTTGGTGCTCTGCGCGTTGACGTGCCTCGAGGGTCTGGGAAGGTGGACCATATTATCTGAGACTCTCCCCCTGAGTTGGGTCTCCCAATGTTTGGGCAACGGAGGACGAGTTGTTCAGGTCATGCAAGAAGCACTGGAAACCATACATCATTGCAAAATCCCGACTCTCAAACACTTAGAATGTGCGAGCAAAGCTGGCCATCTACCGCATCGCTCTGAGAAACCCAAAACCGACCACGTAACAGATAGGCATCGTGGCAAAGGAAGCGGCCGAAATCGACATATTCAGATGTTGAAAGAACTAATGTAAGACTGCCTGGACCTCTCAAATACAAGCTGGGAGAAATGAAAATCTGCTCCCAACAGAAACTGACATTTCAGTTGCCAGCACCTGCAAATATGAAACTGCAAAACACACACACACACACACACACTGGTCTCTGCAAGACATCTCTCTGTAGCACTCAACCACATTCTCGGTGAAACCAATACTTCAACGCAGGAGCTGGGAGCTAGAATCAACCACGGCCCCCCCCCCCACAGGCTTCCCCTCGCCAGAGCCCCAATCCCACCGCAAAGCACAGCCCCTCCACCTTGTATAAAAAAAGGGGGGAGAAAGAAAAAAAAGGCACGGACTCCGCCAAATCCACCCCCCTTTTCCCCCCCAACTTTGCCCACGGCTTTCGCATCAGCTCAACCTGCTCCATGGGCCCGGCTTTTGCTCCATGAGCCCGTGCCGGGTCTGCTCCCGTACCGCCTTCGCCTTCTCCCGGTGCTCCGCATTCTGCGCCTAAAACCCACGCGGCAACGGCGGCGGGGATGCTGTTCGAAGAGGTGCCCCAACACAAATTCTCATCTTGCGGGTTTCCGGGTTGCAATGAATCAAAACAAAAATTTCAAAAGGGCATGCAACAATATTCCGGACCTTCGGGGAGGGTGGAATAGGCCGCCCTAACATCAAGGCCAATGGGCCTTTGGGGTGGCAAAACGCGCGCAACGCCAACGATCGAAGACTACGAGGGCATTCCATTCGGCAAGTCAAATGAAGCTGAGAGCTCCGGCCTGGGCGTTGCGGATGGACTCCCACTTCTGCTTGTAGAACTGCTCCTGGCTCATGCTTTGCTGTTGATTCCTTGCCTCAAAAATGCGAAACTCGAACAGGGCGGTCCCTTTGGTTTCCAGCAATCAGAAAATCCAAGAAAGGGTGCGCTCAAAACACCATCTCAAAGGGCTCAAACCCAACATATGGAAACTAAGGGACTCAAAAGTGGCTTTCCTCCTGTTGGCTGTCTTTGAAACCAACCCCAAAAACAGGACCCTCAAAGCCAGCCACACCCGGAGGGAACTGGGTCCTACCGAATGATAATTTGCCCAAAAAGAGAATGTTGACAGATCTTGCCCGTCAACTTGCCTGGTCAAATTACTGCAACATCGCACTGGGGCAAGTTACCTCGATGCAAACTCTGCAAGCTTTTATGTCCCAAGTGCGGCTTCCAAAGGCTGGCACTCCTGGCTCAAGAGTGGCCCGACAGTGAAACCACTTACGACAGTGAAACGGCGGTGGGTCAAAACCAATGGGATCCCATTTTGGGGTAGGTGCACCACCCATTTGGTCCATTTTAGTGGGGATTGAATCGGATGTTCACTGGGGGTAGGATTTGGCTTTTGACCCATGGCCAAATGGAAAAACCAACGCCAGAAGAAATTCTGCAAAAGGCCCTCGGCCCGCGAGAATCCATTGGGCGTTCCTTGGCGGAGAACTTCTGCTCGTTCTGCTTCCGCAGATCCACGATCTCCGCAGCCCTCTTCTTCGTCCTAAGCGAAACACGAGCGAGGGCCTATGGTGCGGGACCTGGCCGATGACACGGGCAAGACATGCCAGTAGACGTGGAAAACCAGAAAGCGAACAAGGGACTGCTGAATGGTTGTTGAACAAAGTAAGATGTCCATCCCCTCTGCCGGGGGTTCTCTTGGAATCGCGGTCTGGTTGAATAACCCCACCAGCAGACCTCCTTCAGAAACGGGGAGGGGCTATTCGACCAGATTCCCCTCTGAGCTCAAGCAAGAAGAACCAACACCCCCACCAGCCCATCCTCTGCAAGAATTGCGCTTACGAGAATTCATTGATGGTTGCAGGGTGCTCATTCCACAAAAAACAGCAGAAAGGGAAAGAGAGGAGGGAAGACCAAGTTGCTTGTTATTTTCTGATCAGAAAATTGCGAGGAGAGGGCCCAGTAGTACAGTTCCAGGCGGTTTCGTCAACCGTGTCTCTTGAATCTCTGACGAAGGTTGACAACTGGTGCCCCAGGAGTCAGCTAGCAGTTCAATTCCCCACATGAGGATGGATGTCGTGGGTTGCCAGGGAATCTACTTGAGTACCGAAAACCGGGCAACTGATTGACCCTGTCACAAACGAGCAAAGGCTGCCAAAATTCAAAAACGGGCTTCACATTCTTTTCAGACCCCCCGCCCACACCAACATTGACACTGTTCAGAAACCTGGAAGGTCCGCTGGAGATTGCCAGGAATTCTCAATTTACATTGCCAATCTGCAATACTCATTGGCAGGCTTCTCCATGCTCGCTTCTCCCCACTCCCCCACCAAACAAAAACAAAGTCCGGGAAAACATTCTCACGTGGGTAGCTTCCATCGATCTAAACAAACGGTCCAGAAAAAAATAAGCGAGTGCGTTCTCTTTCAAAGCCCGCCCTGCTCTTAACCAAAAAAACTTGATCTATTGCTCTCCCGCAATCTTCCCGTAAGACCCTGCGGCTTTGAGCCAAGCCATGCCCGTTGAGCTAAGCCCCCGGCTCCTCGATCTTCTTCCAAGCCTCCGTTGGGGTTGACGCCCCCACAGCCCACCCCCCTCCCCTCCGGCTACGGGGAGTGTCCCTTTCTTTTGGTTTTTACCATCCAAAAGGGACCCCTATTTTCACAAAAAAAAAAATGCCAGACAAAAAAGCAATATCGTGGCTAAACAGCGAGTAATGCATCATCCAGCCGGAAAGGCATTCGCTAAGAACCTTTCTGAAGTTGGCCGACCAGTCAGTCAAAGTAATATTGCCCAAGTCATGACAAGTCGTTCCTTTGATTTGTTTGTCCGCATTATCAGACTCCCTCACGTCCATGGCACAACCGTATTTCCCATGGCCAATCAATCAACAGGTGTTCATTCAACCCTTTCAAGCGAAAACGCTCCAATCAACTATTTGTGCCGGGGCTCCCAATTTCAAAAACATCCATGCGGTCCGCAAGCAACAGGCCCTGTTCGGGTCCTTTAACCAAGGCGATATAGGCAACCACAAAGCAAATCCGTCGGAGCGGATCTCGAGTTTTGACGCATGGCGGGTTTAGACTGCCTGCACATGAAATACACGCTCTCGTTTCTCTGATCTGGGGAAAAAACTGATAAAACTGATACAAATTACCTAACTGTCCAAGAGCTCTACAACCCAAGCATCGGTTTGGTTGAGAATACCGAAAGCTAAGAAGAGTAGACCTTGCAGCTAACATCACATGCCTCTCTGCCAGCACCCAAGACGTATTGAATTCCATCTGCAGCGCTGCTGTGGTAACAGCGGCAACCCATGCAAGCAGCGTCAGCACCACTTCGCTAGGTTTCTGCCAAACAAAGACACTATCTGCCAACCAAGATCGAGACAGAATGGTATGTAATGCAATGCAACGTAATGCAATGTAATGTATTGTCCTGTAATGCATTGCATTGCATGGCATGTATGTAGGTATTGTACAAGACAGCTAAATCAGTTAAAAGGAACCTTGCCGACACACCAGCAAAACAAACAGCCCGCCCATCTAGCCGAGCTACGTAGAATAAGATTCAATAAAACCAAAAAGAGACGCGGCCCCCGGCACATGGCCTTCTCCTCTTCTTGCTTCAGCAGGGCAATGCGATTTGCCAGGAGCTGGGCGTCGAGCTCTGCCTTGGGCGAACCCCTGGTGGACGGGCTCGATCCTCTGCCCGTACCCCGCTCACCCCTGGACAATCGCTGTTGAGTAAGCCGGATCAGGGGGGGAAGCAACCCCTCGCTTTCTCTGCGCAGGTTGATATATCCGGGAGCAGCATTGGCCCTTGCAGCCGCCTCAAAGGGCAAAGACGGCTGTCACCGCTATGTAGCCATGGAGGTAAAGTGCGTATATCACATTCTTCCTTCCGGACCTGACTTTAGGGTTGTGCTTTGACCCTCGAGTCCCGAAGAGCAAGCTAGCAGCTACTTTGTTGCACTGTTCAAGCTGTTTTGATACAACACTAGATATAGGCACCAAATTGCCACCGCTCCAAATGAACCCGAGCTCCTCTAGAGCAAAAGGCACAAGAAATCCTGAACAAATGGGGCAATGTCGCGTTTCAGGTTCTTCAACGCATGGATGCCAAGCAAAAAAGCAAAAAGAAAAACGGCTCGGAGACCTTCATTCCGGACTTCAGTTAAACCAGAAATACTTCCTGAGATCCACAGACCACTAAACATGTGCGGCGATTTGGGTTGAGCCCCTTAGTACCAGATGTTGATTGTGACTCAATTGGCTTCACAAGTTGCATGCGAGGAAAGCAACTCAGCATTCTCATGAAAGATGGCATACTCCCCACCTCACAGCACTGCTTGGGAAGCAAGACACATTGGAAGAATATGTTGCCAGGATATATAGTGTGTCAAGACAGTCACTCTCACGCATCATGGGGAGCTGAATCGTGCTTCTCTTTGACGTTTCCGAAAATTAGGGGCACCTCCCAGCAGACACTCTGGAACATAAAGCCAAGCATGTGAAGAATGTCCAGCATCATCCCTTGGGCGAGCTCACTGCAGGTCAATTCACCTACAAGGCCCAGCCCCTGGGGTCCCTCGCCCGCTTCCGTGCTTCCCTGGCCACCGTCAGGTTCGCCTGCCCCTGGCGCTTTTGCCAGCAATACCCACGGCTGTCCAGCCGGACTGGAAACCAAGAACAGAGTCGCCCAAATTTGAAACAAGGTTCTGGCAAAAAGAACGCATACGATCATAAGGTTTGGGGGGGGTCCTCCAGCTAGCCGAGGTATGCCATCTGGTTTCGAAAATAGGATTGCCAAGCTGTGTGCGGAGCATGCGCGGCCAAAAAAAATTGGCTCACCCAATCGTACCCGACATGCAAAGGAAATCCTTCGGGAAATCAGAAAATATGCTTTCGCCGGGCTCCCCGGCCTTTTTGCCGAACCCAAAGTGGACAAAATTTGTAGCAGAGATGAGATGCGAGGAAAAGAATCGATCGCTAGAGAATTGGCAAAGGGCAGAGGCCATTCGGTGGGCCGGGAAACACATCAGCTCCACTTCCATCAGTGTTCTAGATTGGTGACGCATGCTGGCTGGCCAGGCATATGCGCACGTGTGGGATTGCACCAAACCATCCGACCATAAAGTGACACCAGTGGTGTTGCTTCAAGTGTCTTGCGAATTCGGAATCTTGGCCACAAAGCCGGAGCTTGACCCCCCGGTTCTAGGCACAGACATGGAGCGCCCCTTTTGAGCCGGCACGCTTCTTCAAAGCACGGCATAATCCAAATCGGGACCAATCTGGAAATAGAGGCATCCGTGTGTGCTTGGCTTGCATCTGTGAATGACTGCTTCTGAAGCAAGTGCACATCAATCAAGAAGTGAGAAATAGACTGTGCGTGACAAGAGAATGCTTGTTATCGTTGTCTGGTCAAGACACGGGAAAGAAAGCTTGGCAAGTGTAGACCACTAGCATGCAAATGTTTGAACAGAGCAGTATGCATTCACGACCTGGCAAACCGTCCATGTGCAGTCTTCTAATCAGGTCATTTCAAGCAACGGCCCATGCGAGGCTGGCGGTCCTCCATCATCCAGCCCACCCCAACACCCCCAACACTCCTGCCTCCCCACCCTCAAGCACTAACAACAACGATCAGGTATATATATATATAAATGAATACATAAAGAAAGAAAGAAAGAAATATAAATACAAATGAAAATACGAAACAAACAAGGGACTTTCCGACTGGTTGAAACTGACCGAGAAGATGGCCTGCCTGCATGGTCCCCTGGCCGTCTTGCTGCGGAACCGTCACCTTCGCGCGGCACGCTTCGCTCGAAAGACCTGCCCTGAGGGAGGGAAGGCAAAGGGCACAAGAATGGGAGTACCCACACGCGCACACAAAGTGTAGCCCCCTGCCATTGTACTCGAAGCCACCGCCAAACACCATGCTGACCTTTGGACTTCCCCATCTTGGTTTCTGATCACCCTTGGCCGCACGCAAGATTGCTGCTGACTTGCAAAAATGAATGTTTTGGCACAAAAAATACCCGAGATTTGTGTGGCAAAACTTAGGAAAACCCAAGTTTGAGACCTTCGTGAGAGTATTCCATTTGCCCGCAGCTCCAATTCATTTGCCGTGGCCCCCATGATCGATTTGTGATTCTCATGTAGGGCTCCCGGCATCATCTTTGGACATATCCAGAGCAATCAGGAGGTGTGCAGAGAGCGAAGACTTGACACTCCGCATGCAAGAATCGGTCAGGCCTCCATCTCATAGGCTCGGGAAACGTGATTCGACTCCCACCACTATGCACCAAAGTATCGCTTCAACCGATTGATCGAAGACATATCACAGTTGCTTGTAACCCAAAGACAATGACAACAAACAAATGCCGCTGCGCTGCCTTCAAAGCGATTGGCGTAAGGATCCTGTCTCGGACCCGTTTCCAACAAGTCCCCGGAGTATCCACGAGAGGCAACACTCGGGTCGTTCCGACGGCAGTGACCCTTGGAACTTCATCTTGGTAGTCGCCGTGGCCAAATGGCCAATTCAGAAGTTCATCGAATTGGTTGCTGAAAAATGAAGGGCGCGAGAACTGTTGCCCTTGCCTGGTTTTCCACGTAGAAACTAAATTTCAGGGTCTCCAGTTTCTGGCCCGCAGCCAAATTCTAGACATGGCCAAGTATGTGTCAAACCTGGTGTCGCTCCAAATTGCTGGCTTGTCAACTTCCCATGGAAATGGACCCCTTGAATTTTAAACGTGAGTTCTGGTCAAACCACAAACACGACCACCATGGCCCAAGCACACCGGAGGATGATGTAGGCCTGAAGTCTGGCTTGGGACTAGCCTGGTAGAACCTTGCTAGATGGGGTTCTCAAATATATATATATATATATATATAATATAATATAATATATATATATATATACTTTCATCGTGTGGGTCATGGTAAATTGAAACAACAAGGGGTCCATGGCCGCACCTACCAACCCCAAGCTAACACGATCTCAGCAACCATCGGGCCCCGCGCCGCTTCCGCCATGCCTCTTGCGAGGGCCTTGCTCGCATCATGGCAATACAAATACGAACCATCTGGTTTTGTGGCAACCCTTTTGGGATGTTGTTTTTTTGGAAGGAAACAAAAGGCAGCCAACCATAATGCGGGATCTGCTACACTTTAATTAATATATGTTTACAAAACAATTGCAACCCCCTCAGTTTTAACACGTACCTCGCGCATGTGCTTTTGGTTGGTAGGGGTGTGCTCAAAGTGGAAACGGACCCCTGTCAAATGGCCTGTAGTATGAAAAACAAGCGAAGCCAATTCATTTTCATCGTCTCCTTCTCCCGTCTTGGTGCGTCTGCGTTTGCGAGTTCTAACAAAGCAGTGCCAGGTTTGCTAGTCGATGATGGGCCGCAATCCTGCCTTACTTGGTCCAGAAAGGAGTTGGAACATGAAGGAGCTACTGGAGCAACAAAAAAAAGTGATTCCACCAGGCACCGCAACTTTGAAGAAAACATCGTGTCATGCCGATCTTGAAGCGTGATCTCGAGGTCATTGTACCAACAACTTGGAGCCCTCCAGCAAATGCTCTGGGATGGCCGCTGTTTAAATACCTCAACAGCTTCGTCCAAGTGACCAAATCACTCAACTCGCAGCCGACATGAGCCGTCCCGAAACCCATGAACTTGTGGTTCTATCACAATGCACAAGGTTTCTACTGGCCTTGGCCTTCATCCTTAACCTCCTGGTCCTGCTGATGCTTCAACAAACTATAAAGGACCCCCAGTTCCCGGACTTCACCCCAAAAAACGCAGGTTCCAATGGGCTCAGGGGCCTTCCTAAAGAGACGCAAAAAGGTTGCGAAGATTCTTCGTTCCTCTCACCCCAGCGTCATTGGTCGGGGCCCCGGCAACGCTGGACAGGGCCAGAATCGGAAGGCTCGCGGACCCCAGCACCCAGCTTGAAGCGAAGCGGCCGCAGAAGAGGAAACTGTACAAAACGCAAAAAACATACCTCTCTCCATGAGTTTTTGTCGGCATAACACGCCACACGGGCACCAGAAGTCCAAATTGTGGATCAGGCAGCTGGAGAGGGGCACCTGCAGGTCCGCAACTCCTTCCTGGGTAAGGCCTGCTTTGTGTGAGCAAAAAACGATTCTTGTTGCATGGCCGCATTTATGTTTTGCCAATGTTGCACTTCTGCACCACGTTGCCTGCAACGTTTTGAGGCACGTACACGGAGAAAAAGTACACAACCTGAATTACACGCACACACCACCAACTCCTGGCACTGCATTGGCTGATCAGCGGGCGTGCAATGTTATTGATGCATTTGGTTACCTTAGAAAGATTTGCAAATGGGCGTAATTTGACGACGAAACAAGCGACTCACGTGAGTTCATCCACAACCCTCTGGGTGCATCAACGGCGAACTTCGTGCGCACAACAAGTTCCACATTCCTAAGCCACCACATCAACGGAGCAACCTTTCTGTGGAACAATCTGACAAATTTGTACGGCCTGCAAATAACCTGTTTTATAAATGTAAATCTACTACGTTTGCATTTATATCTACATTTACAAATCTAGACATTTTTTGTTGTGCATGGAAAAGTCATCCTTGGGCCCGTGCTAAACGGATGTTCTGCTTGGTGGAAACCGCTGATTAAAAAGCGTTGAACGTTTTGCACTTGCCTGTTCCGCAAAGAAGACAGAAGCTACGAGGCGCGGCTCACCACTACGATTCTGCGTTCCTGCACGTGCAAATAAACGTATGTGTTTGTTCACCGGTGCACCCCCTGTTGTTTTGTTCGGTGCTTGTGTCACACGATCCACTCATGGAGCGATCTCATGCATGCGTTGGCTCAAGACCTGGTGTTCAGCTCCTTTACTGCAGCAATAGTAAAAAATGTCCCAGCATCCCCCTTTTTAGCGCGGGGTTGGCCTGCCAGGAGGAAGAGCCGTTCGCTTTCACCACACGTGCCAGTTGGACGCATGATGCACAGTACGTCTTTTTGTCTCGGCAGTAAGTCAGGAACGCGTGCAGCGGCGGCCAGGTGTTCTTTTCCAGAATTGGGGGGTTTCTCGACCACTTCGGCCATGAGCCTGCGACGCGTTGAAAACTCAAACACTAGTCTTCTCACAATGTGTGTAAAGGTAAAGAAAAACACTAGACCACGGTTGGCCCGAAAGCAGAACATCGCAAGCGAGGTCGGCCCAACGCTGCAGGATGCGTTTTTTTTCCCTACACGAAGCATTCGTGAAGCAAGCGCGAGACAGCACCAGGCAAGGTGCTCTGCGCAAACTGGTCGGTGCAAGTTGGTCTGCGCAAGTTGCTCTACGCAAGTTGCACTGCGCAAGTTGCTCTGCGCAAGTTGCTCCGCGCAAGTTGCTCCGGCAAGTTGGTCCTTGCAAGTGGCTCCCTGCAAGTTGCTCTGTGCAAATTGCGCTCCCTGCAAGTTGCTCTGTGCAAGCTGCTCTGTGCAAGTTGCTCTGTGCAAGTTGCTCTGCGTAAGTTGCTCTGCGCAAGTTGCTCTAGGCAAGGCGCTCTGTGCAACTTGCTCTGCGCAAGTTGCTCTGCGCAAGTTGCTTTAAAATGCAAGTTGCATCTTGCGACGCCCGCCCGCGGACCAGGGAGGAATCGAACCCGCGACCCGCCGGTTCCGGGAGCAGGCGCGCGAACCACGAGACAACTCCCGAGGACCAGTTCGAACAACAAAAGTCGCAAAAATCCACCTCGTTTTTGCGCCTCGCAAAAAACCATGGGTTTTTGCACCTCGACCACGCCGATCCCCGCAGAGGGTTGCGCGAGCACCGCAGAAATCGCAAAAAACCATGGGTTTTTGCACCTCGACCACGCCGATCCCCGCAGAGGGTCGCGCGGGAACTTTAGAAATCGCAAAAAACCTCGAGTTTTTGCACCTCGACCACGCCGATCCGTTGCGCGAGCACCGCAGAAATCGCAAAAAACCTCGAGTTTTTGCACCTCGACCACGCCGATCCCCGCAGAGGGTCGTGCGGGAACTTTAGACTCTCTCTTTAGAGGGGGGTTCCCAAATGGATTCTATTCTACCTGACAGGCTCCTAGCACTCGTCCGTCCAGGAAACGACCTCGTAAGGATTCGGAACCTTTATACCTGGTGCCCTTAAGCAGCTTGAGTCTCTCAAAATACTTGACAAAGGAACCTTGAGCGCAAGCACTCCTTTTCAGCACACGGGGTTGAGCATCAAAGGTAAGGAAAGGTGAAAACATTTTCCAACTCTCAGCTTGAGCCCTGGACGGTTCGCCAGGTTAAAGATTCAACTCATGCAAAAGCTACTCAACTTCCTATACAAGGAGTAACGCATGTTCATAGGGTGCTACACAGTGTAAATTCTCAACACCGCACCTGAGCCACACACCTCTGGTGAGTTGCTCACTCTTGAGATTTGCACCCGTCATGTGGACTCTATCCACACAACCAGAGCCAGGCTCAAGGGCTCATCACGAGCTCTCAAAGCTCTTCTGTGAAACAAGCTTCTGCCATCCAGCCACTTGTGGACTTCAATGGGCGTCTCTTCTCGCACGCCACTACACCATGAAAATTCTCCATCCACTATATTCTGCAAAGAATCCAGCTTCATGTCCCCAGCTGACTGCCACGGCCTCGACCACTCCTAGGCCTTGCAGCATTGCTCGAAGAACTGTCTACATCAACCGCTCTCCCAAAACATGTTCGGCATTGACCTCTACCAGATTTCTGAGCTTCCTGCTCACTCAGCTCAGATACTTGTCTGCCTGCAATCCACTTGCAATTTCTGCGATGGTAAAATCCACCAGTCCGGGTTATGTACACTCTGATGGGCTGACCTGCATCAAGAGGCCTCACATCTCCTTGCTCAGTGAATAAAGCCCCACCATGATCAGACCCGGCTGATGTTTGCATCCGGCCATTCTCATCCACAATCGTCTCATCCTGAACATTTGAAACTCGCTTGCTCCTGCATTTCTGAAAACTCCATACCACGAAGCTGAAAATCAAATACATCGAATGGAAAAACGAAAGTGCGAAACACATTCCAAATACCCACATGCTCCAATCTGCATCTGCAGCTTCCTGCTTCTTTAAAAAATCATCACTTCCTTGCCCAAGTGTCACTGCTGGCAAAGTGAAGAGACTCATCACCCTCGCAATCCTTTTCACCTCAGGCATACAGATTTCTGCACGCAAAATCTGAAACGCTTCCTTCAGAGTCATTCGCTTCTCCTGTCTACCGAGTTCCTGGTACAGCTCCTCTTGGCCACACCTGAAATGTTGCTCGCCCTGATAGGTCACCACTTTCATGAGACCCAAAAGCAAAGCTACCCTGCGAATAGCCAGCTGCTTAGTAAACAGATCTGCAGGATTCACCCATGTGCTCACTGACCTGATTCGCACTCGCCTCTGCTGCACCCATTGCTGCACCCACAAAAGCGAAATAGCAATATGCTTCGTCTTGCCAATCCCAACTTTGCACATCATCGCCTTAGCTGCTGAGCTGTCTGTCCTCAAGATCAAAACTGACCTCTGCAGAGAATGATACTTCTCCACCGGAATTTCACCATCATCCTGCAAGTATCCCTGCAATGTGTCCCACATGCGCTGTACTGCAATGCCTTCTTGCAAGGTTCCACAGGATGCTGTAAACTCTGCTTCTGCGCTGCTTGTGGACACTGACTTCTGAGTTCGTGAAAAGTAGGTAATCACATTCCCATTCACACAGATTACCACTGCCAATTCATCTCCCTGCACATCTGGAGGGCGCTCTTCAGCGGCATCATCTCCAGCATCGTATCCCCAGGGAAGGCTGTCATCAGCCCAGCTCGCATCAACTTCATCTTCCAGATACTCATCTGCATCCACCACTGGCATTTGCACTGCCCCCACCTGCCTTCCATCTCCAGATTTCAAGATCTTTGGCATAGGTGGGCCTTCTGGTAAAGACTCACTCATTCGCTTTCGCTCCTCCACCACATCCTGCATGTCCTCTGGTGGGATCACAGGTCCAGCCACTGATGCCGAGGGTGGAGGAGGCCTCTGAACATGTACCGAAGGCATAGCACTGCTCATTTGATTCAAACCGCTCTGATCTGAAACTGACTGTCCCACAGAACCCAAATCTGCAAGCATCGCATTGTCAGGCAAAACCGATTCACCCTGCTGCTCTGCCTGTGCTTCAGCTTCAGACTCTGGATCCGACGCTGCCTCATCTTCCACTGCAAACGCAACCCTAGGCAAAATAGGAGGTACCCCAAAGTTGTCCTTGACTGTCAAACTCTTCTGCAACATGAGCCAGGGAGTTCCTCTCACTTTATCCAGCTCTGATGCAACCCAAGCAGATGAGCTTGGTAGCCTTCTCACACTCCTGGATGTTGTCACTCCCCAAACTCCACCAACCAAGTGAGATCCAGTTCTGGGATCCTTTCCCAACCAAACTGCCTTCCTCCACCTGCGTAGAGATTTTCCCGCATTTGCTTGCAAAACCATCACACATTCGCCATAGGAGAGAAGAACTCCTTTGTACTTTCCTTCACCCAGCAATTGCATAGGCGTCATTCTCTGAATTCCAAAAGCATTGTACAAGAAAGTCCCATGCACAAAAAAACCATAGATGGACAGGATGTCCTGGCTTCACCGAATAGCCACACCTTAGTGCAATCTGCTTTCTCAAGGTGCGCGCCATCTCCTTGATCGTTCTCACTGCACGCTCTGCCCTGCCATTGCTCATAGGCTGACCCTTCTCTGTCTGTCTCAGGACCGTCCTAAACTGCTGCCGGTCTCGCATCTGTTGCACACCTCTCAAAACAGCTTGCAAGGCAGGTTCTTGGTCACCTTGAATTGTAACTGCAGTGCTTGACACTCTCAAAATGAAATTGTACAATTCCTGCACCATCCGGGCAAGAGAGCTGCCTCCCTTCTGCTCCACTGGAACGCAAAGCAAAGCAT